AGCAATTCAACGTTTTATGAAAACAAATATTCAAAAATAAAGAGAAAAAAATGAAGGGAAATGTGTGAACGAAAGTAAAAAATTGTTACATAAACAAACGCCTAAAAATGCTACTGATAAAAAACGGAAGATTAATGAGGTTACACAAACGAGATATGACAGAGCCATAAATTTAAAAATACTACAGTACCCGGCAGATTCTCGGGCCTACTTCGCCGAGATTAAAATAAGATACAAAACTTTTAATCGGTTTATGGATCTCCGATGTTATCCAGTGTCTTCTCGGAGTCAGCTAGACAAATTTGTTTGGATCTCCACCTAATAAGACACTTCTTTTTTCCCCTGTGGCTATGAATTACTTTATCTGGGCACGCCCAGATTCGCACCCTGTGAGCTTTGGGCACTAAGCTTACCTTTGAGTCCACTTGGGCTGAGTGACGAGGACAAGTTTGACCGCCAAAAGCCTTCAGTCCCCCTTTCCTCTTTTTAATTTTTTTAGTATTCGTCCGCGGTAGGTTAAAACAGGAAGAAGAAAAAGAAAGAGAAGGGGGGGGGGATGCTGGAAATTAGCTTCAGGACTTAAATCAAGAGTGATTTAAGCTTTAGGGCTTAAATCAAGTGTAGTCAAGAGTGATATTCACAGTTCTGATACAATTTTAGAATTGTGTTTTGCTGGTACTGGAGTAGAAGTAATAGACTGTGCTACTCTAATATGATGTGATGTAATGATGTAAATATTTTTGTTTTGCTTGGTCGAATAAACCAATTGAGGGCCGTCGTAGTATCACCTGTGAATATTGCACCTCTTGAATTTGAAAGGTAAAGTATCTGTCGGGTCGAGTTTTGACAAATAAACGATATTTCATTTGCGCAAAGCAAAAATTTCTTGATAATTGAAGTGGAAGCAACAAAAAAATTGCAACAACTTTTAATTTCCAAAATTATTATTGGAGTTTTTTTATATATGTATGTGCTGATATCTACAAATATGTACACTGTACTGCTTATCATTTGTGACAAAAAGCGTATACACTCCACCACTTTTTCGGCTTTTTACGGATACTTTTTCGTTTGCTAGAAGCTTAAGATAGGAGTATATAAAAGTTCGATTTTCAGTAATAAATTTTATAGTTTTGATTTTTGAATATCGACAAAATCTCTAAAAATTAAAAAAAAGTAAAAAAGTGCATGCGAAAGGACGTTTCTAACAAAAAAAAAACGCTGTACTGTTTAAATACCCATTTCAAAACTCCCTAAAATTACATCTGAATTTCTGGCAAAAAGTTGTATTAAATGATCATCTTCCTACTTAAACGAGCAATCGCATCGCTGAGCATTTTGGCAGCCGGTGATTCCACACAGGCGCATAACTGCTTGATT